CTCCCCCCCCCCCTTTTTTTTTTTTTTTTTTTTAAGGATAGCTAATTTTTTTTTTTTTAGATTTTTTTATTTGGCTGCATCGGGTCTTACTTGTGGCACGTGGGATCTTCCTTGTGGTATGTGGGATCTTTTGTTGCGGCACGTGGGCTCTTTGTTGCAGCGCGAGGGCTTAGCTGCTCCGTGGCATGTGGGATCTTAGTTCCCGAACCAGGGATCAAACCTGCGTCCCCTGCATTGGAAGGAGGATTCTTAACCACTGGAGCACCAGGGAAGTCCCTCCCCCTGGTTATTTGTTAGTGGTTTGTAGGGTGTATTCCAGTATTACACCAAAAACCTGTTCCTCAGAAAAATGCTGAAGTAAATAGATTATGTCCTGTCTTATACTTTCTTTGCAGTTCAGTAGAAGGCAACAAAGCAAAACAAACAAAACCTGAGAGGAATGTAGCATGAATAAAACAAGCCGTGCCATTTTTCATGAAAGAGTTATTTCGGAAAGTGTAAGAATAGAGTCCTGAGAAAATACTTAGCCTAGCTAGTAAGTCTTAGTACTTTTCTTGAGGCTATTCTAATTACAGAAAAATCAGGAAATATAAGCAAGCAAAACAATAAAAAATTACCATCCAGCAGAGATGATGATAGTTATATACCATCTGTTTCTTTTCTATACCCTTTAAACAAATGTGGTCGTATCCCGCATACTGTCTTGTTACCTGTTTTTTAATTTGCATGAAGATCATTCCGTGTCATTGGTATATGTCTGCATCATAGTTTTAAAACATTCATACATTATTGTTCTTATTTAAATACTTATATTACTAGACGTTTGGGTTATTTCCAGCTCTAAGCTAATCTCAGACAGTGAGGAGATGCACATCTTCGTCGCATCTGGTAGACTTAAGGGTGACACATCGTTAATGTACCACCATTGGGCTGAATGATGAAATCCTGTAAACCTTGTCTGATCTTTAAAAAAAAAACCCTTTCTCCCATCAAGGGTGCTTGTGCTCTGTGCCAGGGTAACTGACATGTCAGGACCTTCTAAAAACATGTCACTCATGCCAATTAAATTTATAAATTTCATGTGGAAAAAGAGACAACAAGTTAAATCTATAATTTTTTTTTTTTTTTTGCGGTACGCGGGCCTCTCACTGTTGCGGCCTCTCCTGTTGCGGAGCACAGGCTCCGGACGCGCAGGCCCAGCGGCCATGGCTCACGGGCCCAGCCACTCCGCGGCATGTGGGATCTTCCTGGACCAGGACACGAACCCGCATCCCCTGCATTGGCAGGCGGACCCCCAACCACTGCGCCTCCAGGGAAGCCCAAATCTATAATTTTTGGGTATAGAAATAGAGAGTGAGGTCCAAAGGTACATGAGAAGTGCTCTCTTAAGAAGACCCTACGAGGAGACAAGTGGTTTCAAGAAGAAAAAGCCATTCCTTTTTTTTTAACTTTTCTGTAGAAAAATAGCAAACAGAACCTCAGCTTTTTCTTTCTCATGTGGCTCACACCTTTGGTCAGTGTTTCTCTGCCGTTTTCCTAAGCTGCTCTTTGGGATTCTTTGTTCTGGTGATCCTGGTTGTTCAGAGGAAACACAGGTGTCCCTAGGGCCTCCCTTAAAGCCCAGGACGACCCTACTGGGAAAGGGTGACCTCCTGTGGGCAGACGAGCTCACCAGTGACCCAGCAAACCCCTGGGGGCAAAGGTTGGCGGTGGGGAGGACTCTCTCCTGAGGGCCAGAGGAAAGCGTGGATGGATAAAGGAATTGTGTCCAGAAGGTTCAGAGCTGCTGCATTAACTTCAGGAGGCTGCTTGGTAGTAACATATTAGGTAGGGAAACGGTTTGTAGTGTATAGTGAGTATTTTAAACCATTTAGAGCACAGCAGACACTCAGGTGTTGGAGCAGCATTTGATTTGTGGATTTTCTTGTATGCGTCTTTATTTTCATGCATAATTGCTTCCTGGTGCAGGGCTTTCATTGTTAAAGAACAGGTACAGAAATAGTGATGTTCAAGTGTAAAATTACTACTAACTCTGAAAGAAAACCTGGAACAAGTAACTGTGTTCAGGCATCCAAGACGTGTGGGCCTGCTTAGTTCATCAGTCAAATTCTCTCAAGTTAGGGTACCACCATCAGGCTGTGTTCCTTGTCTGATCTTTAAAAATATTACAAAAAAAAAAAAATCAAGGATGCTTTTGCTCTGTGTTAAAGTAGCTTACGAGTAAAGACCTTGTAAAAACGTGTCAGTTGTAGATCTGTGGGTAGTAGAATGATTTCTAAGCAAACGTGTTCCAGTGCCTCTATACCCAAAATGTTAAGTTGAGCTGCACTCCAGTGATGCCGGCTGCCTTCGGAAGTTTGTTTCAAAGCAAAACTGCTCTATTCTTTTCATTGTGTGTGTTTGTTCTTGGTGCTTCTGCCTCCTGAATTCTTGGATGTGAAGCAGTGGCTCCTTTGGCCTGAGAGATGAGGGCTGACTGACATTTCCCTGCACCTCTTCTGTTTTAGAATAATATATAAGTGTTCCATGTGTGACACTGTATTTACCCTGCAAACCCTGCTGTATCGCCACTTTGACCAACACATCGAAAACCAGAAGGTGTCTGTTTTCAAGTGTCCAGACTGTTCTCTCTTATACGCACAGAAGCAACTCATGATGGACCATATCAAGGTGTGTGCACATCTCTTACGTCCTTTAAATGAACCGCAGATCCATTCATTGGTCATAAATCAAGGCTGAGCTGCAGATTACGGTAAAGCATGTGCTCTGTCGAAGGAAGGGATGGACGCTGGTCGTTGGTAATGAGCAATTTACAACATGCTGTCATCACGAGTTCACTTAACTGAGGGATGCTTTTTATTCCCGAGCCCTGGTCTGCATACCATGAAAAATCAAAGCAAAGTAACAAATGCATGCCCTGACTTTAAAAGAATAATCAAGCTTTAGGTTTTTTTCCTTCCCCCATATGTGAAAGTGAAGGCTGTGAAGTTTACTTTTTTGAGAACTTGGTGTTATGTAGGATTTAGAAATAGACAAGGACTCTGATGAATTATGTTAATTTGTATAAATACTGGTGTGTTTAGAAAAATGAAGGTTTCCCCTTGAAATAACTTAAGCAGTTAAGTTTGCATTATAATTGATGCCCTGGATCTTGTAGTCTTTTTTTTTTTTTTTAATCAAGTTTGCATGTAAACTGACAGTGGAATGTCCAGGATACAGCACAGTATCTGGCACCTGCTGGGTGTTCAGTTAATGAAATGAATAAATGTCCAGTTTGGACGACCCACTCTCCAATCCCCAAAAGGGGCACCTAAATCTCTTTATAGCCTTTTAAGCTCGTTAAGGACAGAGCTTAGTCCTAGCCTCTTAACTGTCCACTGTGAGAGGTTAAGCAGTTTGATTCCTGTGTCATTAGGAGATAATATCCATTGGCTCTCAGAGATTAAAGTGACTTCCTTTTTAAAAAGAGAAACAACAGACCCAGTATTATCATAAACTCAATCTCTTTCTCTTAGTTTTTCTGTTTTTAAATGTATTATACAGAAAAGGTCAGTTTAAAGAGCAAACCAAGTCTCTAAATTATTCTAACCTCATGTTAGTTAAATGAATGGACTCTTAATTCTTGAAAGTTCCTGTGTTGAGTGTATATGAGCATAACTGCCTAAAACCTCTCAGAGAGGCCACTCACTAGAAGCCAGGTGAAGGTAGTGATGGCGTGGCATTACTCAGGTGAATAAAATGCATGGGAGAGGTGTTTCCTCACTCTCACTTGAAGTACAATAACATCCTCTTAAGATGTTTTAAAGATTCTTACTAAAATTGCAAAATTATCTTGACAGTAAATATTTAATGAATGATCAGGAAAAACTACATACTGCTAATAAAAACACAGGGACATTGGAATTAGACCCAGATATTTAACACGTACGATATGCGGGTTGGGTGGGGTGCGAGGAAAAGAAGAAAAGTTGCTTCTTAAGAGGCTTTTAAAGTATTTGCTTTCTGGAACTCATGTTACATCTGGAAGTGGGGTCATCCGACTTTGTGGTTAGGGTCTTCCTTGTGTTAATAGTGAATTTGGAGGAATACAAGGTTCCAAGAAACAGACTGAAGAAGACTGGTAAAACCCTGTGGCCACAAGGAGGAGAGAATTGCTTTTATTCATCTGAACCTTCACGAGACTCCATGATACAAAAACAGTGGGAATGCTCACTTATGTTCTTATTTCAAGTATGTTCTGTATGTTCGAAAATACTATCCTGCCTTTATGTGTTTGGGGCTGGGTAAGAATAAAGATAGTTTTAGGGGCACCCTGTTTTTGTTTTTTAAATGTATGTATATATCTAGCTTGTGAATTTATTTACATTGTCTAATACCAGCGCTGTTCAGTTTTTCATGAGGAAGAAATTAAGAGAAAGGAGCCCAGGAACCCTGTTTCTCTACATACGTATTTATTTAGAGGTAGATTTTTATTTGCCCAATTTAATCCAATTTGTATAATTTCTTTGTTCCACCACAGTGTGGACTTATCCACTGTGTGGGACCCCTGTGCTCCATGTTGGCATCTGCATTTAAAGTAGACCTTCAAGTTATAGTCATTCAGGTTTTTTTTTCGGGTTTTTTTTTTGCGGTACGCGGGCCTCTCGCTGTTGTGGCCTCTCCCGTTGCGGAGCACAGGCTCCGGACGCGCAGGCTCAGCGGCCATGGCTCACGGGCCCAGCCGCTCCGCGGCATGTGGGATCCTCCCAGACCGGGGCACGAACCCGTGTCCCCTGCATCGGCAGGCGGCCTCTCAACCACTGCGCCACCAGGGAAGCCCCATTCAGGTTTTTTATTGTTGCAGGAGCTAAGGAAGCATTAATTCCAGAAGAATTAAGTTGTATTTCTTTTATTAAAAAAAGAGATTCATCCTTTAAAAATAATTTTATTTTTACTTAAAATATAAAAACAAAATGAGTAAATCAGAAATTCTCATTTTTGCACACATTCCATTGCTCTGTGGTCACAGCAGAACTTTTTGCTGCCTTTCTGGAGTTTCTGTAGCATAAGGCTATCTTAGAATACTTTGATACTTTACCCTCTCTTCAACTTTTTAGTTAGTAAAAGTGCATTTGCCTAGAACCTTATGAAAAGTATATCAGAAGATTTGGGGTTTGTTTTCTTTGGGTTTTAAATGGTTAAAAATGTAAAAATTTGGCTTCTGTTTTGAAAAGGACCATTTAAACACAGAGGCCTCTGCACCGCATGGTGGAAAAGAAGCAAATGCACAGTTTTTGGTGTCAAGAGATGACGTCTCTCCCCAGATTTTCTCTTTGCAAAGGCACATTAGACATTCAGCCCAGGCCCTCTTCACAGCCCAGTTTAACGATTGTCTGGGGAGACCTATAACCTCTGCTCATGAGGAAATTATAGAAGCCCCATTTTTCCCTCTGGGGTGAGACAGTATTGAAGACGTATTAATTAATACTAATTAATTAATAATTAATTATACTAATACTAATTGATAATTAACAGTATTAATTCTTGGTACAGTTTAGAGAAGAGCCTGCCTTGAGAACGTATGCTGGTGAGTTCGCCAGAGGAGCAGCTTCTCACCTGAATACTCAGAGTAGGGAGCTGAGGTCTGTGCCAGTGTGAGTCTCTGTGGCCCAGGGCACTAGCCATGCTAACACGAGTTAGGACGTGTCCTGTTGCCTTTCTGAAGATTCAGGAACTCAGAGGATACTGATACGAGACAGCCCCATCCAAAGATAACTTGTAAATTGAGGCACAGACATATTTGCTTGCTTGCTTTTTCTGGACTCCAGGCTCTTCTAGAACAAACAAAACCAAACAAAAACCAGAGTGAGGTCTTCAGGGTCAAATTGCACTAGTTTGACGCCAGTGGAGTTTGAAATCCTGTGAGTTTAAGTTGAGCCCCTGGAGGCTATGTTGACGATAATAAACAGGCAGTTTAGAAAGGCTGTTTGAGCAGCTGCTGTGTATAGTTCACATGCCTGGGCGCTATCAGTAAGAAGGGATGGATTGGGCTAGGGGTAGAGAGATTAAAATGACCAAAACTCCCCCCAGCAAAAACCCAAACTCTTAAGAAGTATTTCAAGAACTTGAAAGACATTAAAGGGAGGGAGAAAGGTTTGCTATTAACACATTGGTCTCAGGTGTTTGTTAAAGTTGGTTAGCTAAGGGTTTTGAACCCCTGCCAGTATATTAGCCTATTTAAACATCTTTGGGTAGACGTGAAAGTAAAATGTTCTTCACCACAAGTGGTCTGTGGTAGAGAGGACTCACTCTGGTACATTGGGGGATGACAGAGTGCCAGGAATGATTTGGACTCACAACAGAAGTCTTTCTTTTCAAATTTTAAAATGGCACAAGCAAATAAGCTTTTAAAAATGATTTGGAACGAGAAACGCATAACTTAGAGCAACTGTAAAAGTTAATACTCCTTTATTTCTTTTTATGTGTATATTTTGCTTAGATTTTCATCTTGCTATATTAAGAAATATTTCTGAGTGAAAATAAAATCGTACTGAAATGTCTATAATGTCGTAAGATAGTCCACATGTGCTTTCTTTTAGTGGTGTGACTTGTGAAAGATATTTCTTTTTTTTTTTTTTTTATAACATAGTCCATGCATGGAACATTGAAAAGTATTGAAGGGCCTCCAAACTTGGGTATAAACTTGCCTTTGAGCATTAAGCCTACAACTCAAAATTCAGCAAATCAAAACAAAGAGGACACCAGATCCGTGAACGGGAAAGAGAAATTGGAAAAGAAATCCCCATCACCCGTGAAAAAATCTTTGGAACCCAAGAAAGTAGCCAGTCCTGGGTGGACGTGTTGGGAGTGTGACCGGTTATTCACGCAAAGAGATGTTTACATTTCCCACGTGAGGAAGGAGCATGGGAAGGTAAGTGACGAGTGAAATCCTCCCTGTCAGTGTAAGGAGGACACTCCCAAGACGTGGGTGCTTGCTTGGCTCTGCCGGTAATTAGTAGGATGACCTCTAAAATCACTCATTATCTCTGAGCCTCAGTTTCTTAATCTATAAAATGGACTCTCTGGGATTGCCCTGGTGTTCCATTGGTTAAGACTTCGCACTTCCATTGCAGGGGGCACGGGTGCACGATCCCTGATAGGGGAGCTAAGATCCCACATGCCGCGTGCCATGGCCGAAAGAATTTTCTAAAAAAAAGACTCTCCAAGTCCTTATAATCTTGTTGTGTGATTCTGCTGATAACGCCTTCACTTGTGCTCCCCGGGGCCAGCAGGGAGTTATCCACCACAGCCGTGTTTATAGCTGAGGAAACGGAGAACCATGATAAACCAAGGTTAAAAACATTTGAATTTGCCTGTTAGCTCTATGACAAACAAAGGAGAAAGGAGGAGAGAAAGAAAGTGGGTGTTTTGAAAACTGTTTGTAACATTTGTCTGACTTCTGTGATTCTCTCCTGAGTTTGGTGATAGTAGAAGGACCTCATCCATAAACCATCCAGGAGAAGCTCTGTAACTCAAAATCTCTGAAAAATCTGAGTGTGCATATTTTTTCTTTTTAAAATAATAAGTATACATCTCTAACTGTTACGGATTTTTTTTAATGCCCGTTATTAGACTTAATAAAACTAGCAAGATTATTTTTTAATATTACTCTCATTGTCTCAAAGTTGGTTTGTTCCAGTTAGGATCCAAAGAGTCTGCTTTGCATTTGGTTGTTGTATAACTTAAATCTCGTATTCTCTAGCATTCCTTCTTCCATTTTGTTTTATTTTTTAATGTGCTGTATATGTTGGAAAAATTGGGTTATCTGTCCTGTAGTTGTCCCTCACATTTCTGGAATTAGGTAATTGCTTCCTTTTGACATTGTTTGTTTCTCTTCATCCCATAATTCCTAGAAATTGGATTAGATTCAGGTTGAATTTTTTAGATGGGAATACGTCATCGTTGCTGTATTTTTGTTTCACATCCTGAGGCACCTAATACCAGCTTGTCCTACTTTTGGTTCAGATAACACTGTACTTTTAAAGAAACCATCTTATTGCTTTAATTTAAGCCAATAAAACCAAATAGTTATTCTTGGGGAACCTGTGTAAAAAGTGCATAAGAATTGGTTTGTGATTAGTATATACTAGATCCTTGAAAAGTCTGTTTCTATAGCATTTACGAATCAATTAAAAGCATTACTTTGTATTCTCATTTATGCTGTTTATTTGAGGTACTCATGAAGCTGGCATGTTTGACCTTCCTGCCATCCAGACAATGTAAAGTTGCCTTTGAGCATTGATCATAATGATCACAGATGGCAAAAAGATGTTTTTTTTTATCATATTTTGTCTAGCTACACTTAATTCAGTATCTCCTCATATAAGAATTAGTTACTTAGAGAATATAAATGGCTTTAGTAGCAAGCACATCGCTCATTTAACTGTCTCAACCTTAGGCTCCCCTCATGGGCTGTAGCATCTTAGAATATTCGTGCTAAATATTTGGTAGTTCTTTTGCAGCAATACTTGATAAACCTAGTATATAAATACACGACCTGTAGTTCTTTCAGAGCCCAGTGTGATGATTCTAGGAAAAGTCTTCTTTTCTTGGCATCCAAACTGGATTTAACAAATGTTGAAACAAGAGCAGACGGTAATAATTATCTGGTAGTCCGAACCGTTCATTTCTTATACATTTGAGATTTCTGTAACCAACTTGGAACCTTTCAGAATTATTTTCTTTCCTTTTATTTATTTATTTTTTTAAATATCTTTATCGTGCACGTCTGACAATTACTGGGTCTAGAATATAACATGAAGAGACGGCTCAGAGAAAGAGTTGGTGGGATGAAATGTCACACCTTCCTGCGGGACCACAGCCGGCCGTGTGCGCATGCGCGCCGTGCACACAGTGTGAGCCCTGACATTCGGGGCACCGCTCATCACCGAGGAAATGTTTAGCTTAGCAGGATTCTAGGATTAGCTTTGAAGTTGTTGAGACTCTGCCTTTTGGAGTGAGGCACATCAGATTAGATTACAGCTTCAATTCTGTTCACTCGGGCCTCCTGAAAGAACCAAAGGGAGGTGGGGAGGGAAGGAAAGACACGTCTTTATAAGCTGTTTTGAAATGAAAAGAGTGTTGAACTTGAGTCAGAAACCAAAGTGCGAGTTCTCCGCGCTGAGTCAGACTGGACCCTCTGCTTCCACACCCCACCTACAGACGTCCTTGTGTCTGTTCCCACTCCTTCCGTCTTCCCTCCTGTCCCCAAACCTCAGATCTCCTGCCCCCTTCTTTTCTCTCTCCTGCCTTCGGACAGCCAGCAGGCACCCTGCCGTCCGCACATTTCCACCCCCTGTGCTCCTCAGCTGACCACTGCGGGCTCCGTCACCAGACCCGCCTCACTCGTGACCTCCTTGTCGAGGCAGGTGGTCATTTCTCCGTCTTTACGTCCCTGACCCACTGCAGTATTTCACCCGACTGACAGTTCTTCCTAAAAGCATTTTCTACTCTGAAGTGTGGAACAGTACACTCTCTCCTGCGTTTTCTCCTGGTAATTCTCTCTCTGGGAAGTTTCAGGTATCCTCACAGCTTCACTTCTCATATATATCAATATATGTGCAGATAACTTCCAAATCTCTGTTTATAGCTTTGGTTTCTTGCCTGTATTCCAGTCCCTGAAATCCAGCCACTTATCATGTGTTTCAGCTTCTTGTATCATTTACAGAAGCTTTAAGCCTGTTCAACAAGGAACTTAAACTATTCTCAAATATAAAATCAGAAAGATGAGCTTGTCAGTATTATTAATCCAGTGATCTCATCCAAGCTGTGAGCCTTCTCCCAGATAAATGTACAAATACACAGAATTTTATATACAATTTTAGGGGCTCATATACCTCCTGAGATACTTACTTTCTTGGTTGCTCTAGGGGTGTCCTAGGGACCTCAAATTAGGATCCCCTCAATGAGATAGTGTCTGAGGTCATTCTCACAGATCAAATAAATCTAGAATTTAAGGCACCTGATAGTAAATAAAAAAGTGAAAGTTCTGTGTACTTGTTCATATCTTGAGAATTACTCAGTGATCTATGATAACTATAGCTATTTTCTCATTTGCTGCCAGGTACCCCTACCCATCAAGGGACCATTATTAACTTTTAAATAGAAAGATCCTAAAGCAGATTTGCATTTACTGAATTCTGGGACTCAGATGCCATCAAAATGGACCTTACGAGACTTTCTGAGGTTCTCTCGGGGTATAGATGTGGTCCAGTTCTGTGTCTAGAAATTGGGAGGAGCCTGGGCTTTCAGAGCCTGACAGACTTGGGTTTGAATTCTTTCTCTGGCCTTACGGAGCCCAACCGTTTCAGAGAACAGGTTGTTGAGTAGCTTGGTTCTGAGCACCAGGAAAAAGAATGTGGTGAATCCTAACTACAGGTAGTTCCAGGTAAGTTTTATTTTCTTCTGTTTACCAGGGTACTTGGTGGTAGTAGAGTAACACCAGAGATGGGGAGTAAGTGGGTTTTGCACAACCTTTGACAGAGTCACTCAGTACTGCTTTGTGTAGGATCGCACAAAAGGGCCTAGATGAGACGTTGAATTTATAGCTGGCTCACGATTCATTGCTCTCTTGGAGAGAAAGCTTCCATTTTGGATCAGATTTTACCCAATATTTCTATCAATGACTTTTGACTGTAGGGAGAGAAACTGGGGGGGATTTCAGAAGGTAAATCTTAACAAGTAAACACAGACGTTTCATTTAGGTTTAAAAAAATCAAGCACACTGATAATCATGTGGAGAAGATAGGGTTTAGTTATCTTACGTGAAAAAACATTCCACCTTTGTTTGCCCATCTTAAGACCAACCATCCTTTGTGGCTGCAGAGATAGCATTCACATCAGGGAAGCGAATCCCCTTTGATTTGGCACTGTAATCTAGCTAGTGGCTCCCCAAACTTGACTGTGCATCTGAATCCCCTGGGGGAGGGCTGGTTAAAATCTTTATTTCTGGGTTCCATCCCCCCACAGTTTCTGATGCAGTAAGTCTGAGATGGAGCCTGATAATTTGCATCTCTTATAGGTCTCCACTCTGAGAACCGTTGGTGTACCCTAGGTAGCAGTAAAAGCCCCTAGAGCCCATCGGTTTGTACGAGAAATGCTTATTTCTTGCCCATGCAGAGTTTGTTACAGGTGTGAGCAGTTCTCTGGGGCAGCTTTCCTTCCAGTGACTCAGTGATCAAGACCGTTTCTTTCACCCCCATCATCTCAACATCGGTGCCCCTGCAGTAGGGAAAAAAGACTAGAGAATCAAACGCCCTTATATTCTGGCTGTGACATGCAACACATACCATTGGCCATGACAGGTCATGTGACCAGACCCACTGGCAGTGTAGTCGTCACTGTGCCCCGGCTTGGGGGGCTGGGGAGGGGGAAACGACAGGCAACGTTTACCATGCCCAGTGCGGTGGCTACGGCATCGGAAGTGGTGTGCCCGGGTTCTCATGGCACTGACTGAAGGTGGGTATTGATACCGGCACTTAGGAGGGTAACCGGAAGGGTAAGGGTCTGGAAACAATGTAAGGAGGAAGAGAAGTTGGAGTCCGAGGGAGCTTTTTTTTTTTTTTTTCTTGCGTTATGCGGGCCTCTCACTGTTGTGGCCTCTCCCATTTGCGGAGCACAGGCTCCGGACGCGCAGGCTCAGCGGCCATGGCTCACGGGCCCAGCCGCTCCGCGGCATGTGGGATCTTCCCGAAACGGGGCACGAACCCGCGTCTCCTGCATCGGCAGGCGGACTCTCAAGCACTGCACCACCAGGGAAGCCCCCGAGGGAGCTTTGATAGCTGTCTTTTAGATACCTGTATCCTCCATAGAAGGACCAGTGCATGATTAATTACGGGGGAGCTGGAGCCTTGTGGGTGAAATACCTACCTA